ACACCCTCCTCCCCCCTGAGCACACACCCTAACGGCCACGATGAGTCGGTAAGCAAGACCGACATGGGACTTTGAGAGTGTTTGTCTAATAAAGCATTGCGCAGGACCGAGGCCGATTTGGCCATCAATATCCGCAAGGCCACCAGTATCGGTAAGTCGTCAATCGGGGATGAGACCAACACGAGAGACAGGACATGACGACTGACATTTTGACAACCAACAGAGGAAACCGCTCCCAAACGTATGTCCTGATAATATTACCCTTCCCTCCATCGAAACGATTGATGCCGCCTCGACTTTGCCCCGTCCGAATCGAACTGACCACCCCCCGCGCCTGTAGGGAAACATGTGCGAAGCTGCATCGTCTATACGTGGGACCACAAGTCATCGGCGGCTTTCTGGGCTGGCATGAAAGTGTAAGTTTTGGGATACCTGAAAGACGTGGTCAGGGGTATTGTTCTCGATATGGCTGACATGGCTTCGTTTTTCATAGGCAGCCCGTCCTCGCCGACGAGGTCCAGACGTTCAAGGCCCTGATCACAATACACAAGGTTCTCCAGGAGGGCCACCCCATGGTTATCCGTGAGGCGCAGCAACATACAAACTGGATTGATAGTTTGATGCGAGGAGTCGGAGGCGACGGCGTTCGAGGTATGGATTCCACGCAGGATGACTGCGCAATTGCTCTCTGCTCGAGGAGTAGCGACGCATGCAACGGACGGTATAATAACAGTTCTGGATAGGATATGCGCCGCTCATTCGAGAATACGTCTTCTTCCTCGAGGCGAAACTGAACTTCCATCGCAATCACCCCGAATTCAACGGTATGTCGTCCATGGTTGATGAGTTCTGTCAAGTGCGGGGGTCTGACAGTCGCAGGCTTGTTTGAATATGAGGAGTACATTAGTCTGAAATTGATCAACGATCCGAACGAAGGGTACGTAAATACCTGGTTTTTGCGACAATGGAGAAACGTGTTGACAGTCACAAAGCTACGAGACCATCACCGATTTGATGTCTTTGCAAGATCAAATTGATTCCTTCCAAAAGCTCATCTTCTCGAACTTCCAGTCCGGCACGAACAACGAATGTCGAATCTCGGCATTGGTGCCACTTGTGCAGGAGAGTTATGGCATCTACAAGTTCATCACCAGCATGTTGCGAGCCATGCACACAAGTATGTTGCCTTTGGTCCTTGAATCTGCGTTAAATAGCCGCTGACTGATGTCTCCTGTAGCCACCGGAGAGGATGAAGCTCTCGAGCCACTCCGAGGTCGATATGATGCCCAGCATCACCGCCTTGTTCGGTTCTACTATGAGTGTTCCAACCTGCGCTACCTAACAGGCCTCATCACCATCCCGAAGTTGCCACAAGATCCACCAAATTTGCTTTCCGAGGATGACGATCGCCCAGCTCTTCCCAGACGACCGACGAAAGAAGTGGAACACCAGCCCTCGCCTCCACCGAAGGTCGCTGCTGAGCCGGAGCCGATCAATGATTTCTGGACAAACGAAGCTAAACGCCAGCAAGAAGAGTACGAGGCGGAACAACAACGCTTGCAGCAACAGTGGGAGGACCAGCAACGCCAGCAACTCCTTGCCCAACAGCAAGCCCAGAACGATTTCGAGGAGCAGCAGCGCCTGCAGGCGGAACAGCAGCGATTGGCACAGGAGCAGCTTCTCCGCGACCAGTACCAGACCCAAACCCAAGGTCGGCTGGCAGAGCTGGAGCAGGAGAATCTCAACGCCCGTGCACAGTATGAGCGCGACCAGCTGATGCTGCAGCAATATGACCGCCGTGTCAAAGAGGTTGAGGAGCAGATGAACCACTTGACCTCGAACCTGAACTTGCAGAATGCCTCGAAGGACGATCAGATTCGATCCCTGCAAGAGCAGGTGAACACCTGGAGATCCAAGTACGAGGCATTGGCCAAACTGTACTCACAGCTTCGACAAGAGCACCTCGATCTTCTGCAGACCACAAAGAGCCTCAAGCTCAAGGCAGCCTCCGCACAAGAAGCAATCGAGCGACGAGAGAAGCTGGAGCGCGAGCTGAAGACTAAGAACTTGGAGCTTGCTGACATGATTCGGGAACGTGATCGTGCTCTGCACGACCGTGACCGTCTGACCGGAACCAACAAGGATGACTTGGAGAAGGTCAAGCGTGAGCTTCGTATGGCTCTTGAGCGTGCTGAAAATGCAGAACGCTCAAAGGGAACCGAGATCTCGTCCTTGCTGTCCAAGTATAACCGGGAGATGGCTGATTTGGAAGAGTCCCTCCGAGTGAGTAACTGTCCATCTTGCTGAGATGTGTGATTTATGCTGACCTTATAGATTAAAACGCGCGCATTGGACGAACATTCCAGTCGCAACAATGACCGCCAGGAAGATCTTGACCTGTCGCTTCGTGAGAAGGACGAGGAGATTGAGGTGTACAAGTCTGGTATGGAACAGGCTCTTATGGAACTGGAGGAGCTTAGACTGGTTAGTGATGATCTTGACGATATTGGATGCCTGCATACTGACCACAGTCAACTATAGAGCCAAGGCGATGTCGACCATGCGCTGGACAGCCAGATTGACACTGTGCTTCACGGTACAGTCGCGAAGATTAACGATATTATCGACTCCGTGCTGCAGACTGGTGTGCAGCGTGTCGACGATGCTCTGTATGAATTGGACTCGTCCATGCAGGCCGGTAACCAAAATGCCTCTCCTCCATATGTTCTTTCGCAGATTGAAAAGGCGTCAGCTTCCGCTACTGAGTTCTCAACAGCTTTCAACAACTTTGTTGCCGATGGCCCCAATAGTCCTCATGCCGAGATTATCCGCACAGTGTCCATCTTCTCTGGATCTGTCTCGGATGTGTTGAGCAACACCAAGGGTCTCATCCGCTTCGCCACCGATGACAAGAGCTCCGATCACCTGGTTAATGCTGCACGCAAGTCTGCTCAGGCGACCGTTCGGTTCTTCCGTAGCTTGCAGTCGTTCCGTCTCGAAGGTCTGGAACCACTGCAAAAGACTGATGTTGTCATCAACAACAACCTCGAAGTCCAGCGTGACTTGCAGGCGCTGTCGAAGCTTGTTGAATCGTTCGCCCCCAAGAATACCAAGATCAGCACCAGTGGTGATTTGGGTGATCTTGTCGACCAGGAGCTGCTCAAGGCCGCCGATGCCATTGACGCAGCTGCCCAGCGTCTGGCCAAGCTCAAGAACAAGCCCCGTGACGGGTTCTCGACTTACGAGCTGCGCATCAACGATGTCATCCTTGCCGCCGCTATTGCCGTCACCAACGCGATCTCGGAGCTGATCAAGGCCGCCACAGAGACCCAGCAAGAGATTGTTCGCGAAGGCCGTGGTAGCTCGTCTCGCACTGCCTTCTACAAGAAGAACAACCGTTGGACGGAGGGCTTGATCTCTGCCGCCAAAGCAGTGGCTTCTTCGACCAACACATTGATCGAGACTGCAGACGGTGTAATCTCGGGCCGTAACTCACCAGAGCAACTCATTGTCGCCTCCAACGATGTTGCAGCCAGCACTGCCCAGCTTGTCGCAGCCAGTCGCGTCAAGGCAACATTCATGAGCAAGACCCAGGACCGCCTGGAGACCGCCAGCAAGGCGGTTGGTGCTGCTTGCCGTGCCCTCGTGCGACAAGTGCAGGACATCATCAAGGAGAAGAATCGCGACGGCGATGACGGAGAGGATTATGGAAAGTTAAGCTCGCACGAGTTCAAGGTCCGCGAGATGGAGCAGCAGGTATGTGACGTCCCATTTCCCCTTGTATCCCATCCATGCAATGCTAATATGTCTCCTCCCAATAGGTCGAAATCCTCCAACTCGAGAACGGTCTCGCTCGCGCCCGCCAGCGTCTGGGCGAAATGCGCAAGATCTCATACCAGGAGGATTAGGGAAATCGTCGCATCTGTCTTTCGCTCTTGGCTGTCTGTGTATATTCCACATCCAAATTTCGAGGAGTTTTGCTTCGCCCGTGTCGCACTTTGCGTTGTTCGGTCTGGGCTCTTCTCCCTAATCCCGTAGTTAGTCCCTTGTTTTGATTTCCCATAGCGAATACAAGCAACTTACCTAGTTCCCTGATTCATTGTAGTGCGTATATTGTATATGTGTAGATCCACTCCCCTGCATCCGTGTCCATGTCCTAGCGCCAGTAGATACCCCTGTAGAGCGCACTGTCGCACGGTCGCATGGCCGGACATGGATGTCCCTTGCTCCACGCTGCATGCCAAGCGTTGTCTCCCTCGGTCCATACCCGACTGGTGGAACCATGGATGTAGTGCATGCCGATCCGCGGGTGGCGCCGACTTAGCGGCGGCTGTGAACAAAGAGTATCGAGACGTCACCTCATGCACCGAGTCTCTGGGCGTCGCTGTGTAGTCGAGTTTTGAGATCAAAGTGAAATAGGCCCAATGGCATTCTGAGTGAGAAACTGAGGGTATCTGCTTCGTAATCTTGGTAAACCTAGGATTTGGGAATGGTTGGTTGTCGAAGTATGTCACTGAGCACCTGTGATGCCAAAAGGTTGTTGCGATCGTGTCCTAGATGCGTTTCTACATATTCATCTGAGAATATACGTGCTACAAGAGAGAAAGAAGTTTGAGAAAATCACTAATTGATTTCAATTCAAGTACAGAACAATACTCACTCGGCAGGAGGAGAGCGACCAGGAAAACCCCGTGGGAAAGAAACCCAGTCGACTCTCCTCCTGAAAACTTGTCGTGAGCCAAAAATACATGCAAAGGGACCTTTTTTTGTGGGGATTTTTCTGTTTTTCAACTTTTTTTTTGTTTTTTGATTAGTTTTTAACTTTTTTTTTCTCTCTTTTGTTTGTTTGTGAGTCGTAGTAGAAACCGAAAAGAAAGTCTGATGACTGAGATTTATCGGTGTAATCTCATCGTGACCGGAGAGTCACCACGAAGTGAAAGTAGACAATTGTTGATCAAGACTGTCAACATTGCCGCGCCCGGTCAAGGTACAAGAGCCATTTAGAACATAGGGACGTATGGCAGAGAAGCAAGAATGTTGCCTGAAAGCAGTTCATTGCTCATTTCCAAGCATTCTTCGTTGGTGAAGGGGGCAGACACTGGCTCGACACCGTTCGGACCGAAAAGGTAACCGTTGCTGTGCAACTCAGACATAAACTTGTCATCGATTGTCATCAACTGGTCATCGACATCAACGTAGTTAGAATCTTCCTGAGCGACAGGCAGACAGCTGGCACGGGTGCGGGGGGTGCGACGCTTGCGCTCGGAGGGACGACGAGGAGCGTACTGATAGTCGGGGTGCTTGATAGCGTGCTCCCGCTTCAGATCGTCAGCCAGACGAGTGAACTGCTCCCGAATCTCGGAGCTCTCATTGTTCCAACGTGCCCCGAGGATACGAGCTGATTCATTCATTAGCTAGAAACAAGGCAAGCACAGTTGGAGGAGACTCACAAATTTCGTTGTTCGAGACACCAGGGTTGGCATCCTTGACCAAGTGGTGGTTGGCTTGGCGGTACAGGATAAAGCAGTTGGGAGGACGAGGGACTTTGGCAGGACGGACGGGGAGCTTCACGGAGTTGCCAGCATTGTAAATAGACTTGCTGATCCGACGGTGATCATCGAGCTCAAGGCCATGCGATTCAACCCACACATCTTCGTCATTTTCCGCTGCGATGTGCTTGGGGAACATGCGGTAAGCATCAATGGACTCATCGAGAACAATGTCAACTTTCTTGTTGAGCATGCTCCTATCATGGCTCGTTAATAACATGTTCAAATAGCCATAGGGTCAAGACTTACGCAAGACGGGTTGCCATGTCCATGAGAAGATCCATGTCAAGCACGTCATCAACAACGTTGCGCGGCAGGAACACTTCACCATCAGTCTGAGGAAGATGGGCGACGGCATCCGCCCAAAGGAGCTCCATAGTACGGCGAGGAGACATGTCGTCGTCCTCACCAACCAGCTCAAAGAGGGTGTTCGCCATAGCGAAGAAGATTGACTGAAGAGATAGATACAATGAGTGATTGTAATGAGATGTAGTAAGATAGAAAATTTGGATGTGAAGTGCAAGAAAAAGAGAACAGGATGGAGAGAGGAGGGAAGAGGAAGAAGAAGAAACAAGGCGCGAGGTAAACAAATATAGTCCCGGAGGGGCTGGGAGCGCAGAACAAGGTAGGTGCCGAGTTGGGTGGTTTCTTTGTTTGGCGGGGTGAGAGACGTGTTTCTTTGTTTGCCCAGCGACACCAATCACAAGGTCTCATCCTCAGAGAAGACTTCCCCATTAGGCATAGTAGCAGTAGAACAAAGAAAGTCAATTCTGGAGGGATATGACTATGCTACAAGTGACCTTGCCATCAAGTACTAGTGCGACAAACAGGTCGTATACTATCTTGTCTATCTAGATGCTTGGACTGTCCATTCGGATTGTAACCGCACATTACGTATTTGATATGCTTCTCTATCTAATAATTGCTATGAATAATATATCCTAATAGTTCATGAAGATATACTATGTAGTTCGATCTATACTAGCTCTGTCTGTGCTACGGTTGATGTGCATATGGCGCGTGCCACTGCAGATCCGGGGACTAGCTCCCGCTGTATCCCGCTGCCACATGTAACTTTAAAAAACATACCAAACTTTACACAAAATACTAGCTTTGAACTACGGGATCTGTTTCTAATTGCATAATCTCAGTCATTGTGAAATAATGATTCAAACTATGAGTAATATGGGAGTGAGTCAGTTGTCGACGTACCTACTCAAATGTATCGTGACTCGAATTCCCATGGCAACGGGCAAACGAAGTGACTCATGAAATAATAATTAATAAAATGATTAATTAATTAAAAAAAATTTAATAAATAATAAAATAATAAATAGTCAAACAAAGAAATTAAATCGAAAAAAAGAAAAATGCCCAATCGGGACATCAACTCGATAAATACAATAAGATAAACAAATAAAGCCCAGGTAAACAAAGAAGACAATAGAACAAAGAAACTGGCAGCTACTAGTCCACAAATGGAACTAGGGAAAATGGCTGGAGACCTGGGAGACTTCAGTGAAGTTTGCGCTATGGATTACCCGCTACATGCTAGCATTTGAGTACATGACATCCTTTTGAATAGCATGCAAAGTGCCCTACTCGTTGATTATTGCTAGGACAACAGGACATCAGAAGCAGTCTCCATGAGTTATGTATGCGTACGTCTAATCTTTGGATTGTCCGGGGCTCAACCTCGCTAGATTTACAACGTATGAATATCGATACTCGGGTGTAGAATTTTCAGCAACTCTGTTGGCTATCAAGGAATATCTGCCTTCCTGGGACATGTATGTTATTGCTCTTGCGTCGCAACCGGCGAGTTCCAGTCACTGGCCCAGATGAAAGTGGGACAACGCCATTGCGTACCCTTCTCCTTTTCTCCGCTGGGTCCCAATGGCCGAGGACAGATCCAAAAGGAGCGGCCGCGATTCATCCCGGGTTTCTTCGTGGTCAAGCTGATACATGGCTCTTGGTGCCCATCGCACGGTGGAACAGGTTTCTTGGTAAAAAGTTTTGACCAATCCTCCTTGCTGACAATCGGGTCAATTATTGTGTCGTCAATGAATTTGCTGGCCGTTGGCCCTTCGGTAGAAATATCAGATTCCTCTTTTATGCTTTCTTCTTGTAACCCCGGAGGCTGCGGGTTGATCTCTGGACATTTCCCTTTCTCTTGTGACTGTTCTGATGATTCGGGATTGAGTGATGGTGTCGAGGATCCTGATAAAGGAATAGGTGACTGGGTGGTTTCAGATATAACAGCTTTTGGCTTGAAGAAGCCTGTTAACATCTTCTGGCCTGCCGCAGAGCCCCCAGAAGACGTCGATACGGCGGATTTGGAGCGTTTCGTGGATGTGGTAGGTAGAGGCTGCGAGCGTTTGCGAGAAACAGTCTGAAGAAGTTGATTTCTCGCAGTGATAGGCGCAGGGATCGTTTTGGCCGAGTCAGTGGATCCGAAGGCTGTGTGCATGCCTGTAGATTCTGTGACTTGAGTCGTGGGAATGTTAGCTGGTTTGTTGGCTAGGTCTACCGCCCTCGACGGAACGCTGGTTGGTTTTCGAGCGAACATGTCCTTGATGCTTCTGCGCTTATCAACGTCGAATTCGGGGAGCAAACGCCCGGAAGCGGGCAATGCGCACTCGTTTGGGTATTCCTGTTGACGCCTGCCACAGTGAAACATTCCTGGCGGGTTGAGAATATCCCGAACGTTTACTTCGCCATTGGGCTGGTTCACAGACTCCTTGATAACAGCATACACAGGACAATGGTCTGATCCCTAGAAATCAGTCAGTCAATGATTCACATCATAAAGGCGAGAAGTCTATACCATCAGTCCCTCTTGAATGTTTGAGTCGGAGAACCAGCTCCGCATACCAAGGCTGCACAACACATAGTCAATCCTTGAGCCGTAATTCCCTGGTCGAGCATTGAGCTTCTGGTCCCAGCATGTATACATGCCTGCACGGTCTGGATGGAATGACCTGCAGACATCGAAGAGAACAGGATCTTCCCTGCCTTTGTCACGTTCACCAATCACAACGCCATCTGATATCAAGTGGTTGAACAGGCGTCGAGAAGGCGCAGATATAAATTCCTCCTCGGTCATTGTACCTTTTCGTATGGCCTCGATTCCATGAGCAGCATCAATGCCCTGCTTCGAAATATTGATATCCCCAGCCACGACCACATTCTTCCCCATCGCAATCAGGTTTCGGATTCGAGAATCTAGGACATTGAGAAAGTCCATGCGAAAGGTATCCCGATTTTCATCCCGATAGGCAGGGCAGTAGACACCAATGAGGACAAATGCAGGAAACTCCAGAATGACGCAGCGCCCTTCGGAGTCGAGGGTTGGTGCATCTATTGTAGTATTGGGCACCGAGCTAACATACTCTTGCTCCTCTTCCGAGTCAGGCCCCTCGAGATTCACTGCGGGCCTGGAAAGCTGATCTGAAGTTGGATATCCACCAATCTGCTGCTCTTCTGGAAGACTGCGAAAAGATGTTGAGGATTTTGGTGGGCAGAGAACCCCAGTAATGCCCTCTTCTGCCCTTATTGGAGAACATGTGGCATTGCGCGTGTAGATCACAACACCCGAGTATCCTAAAAGCTGTTAATCTTCTGTATGGATAGCATTGGGGTATTAGCTTGCCTTTTTTGACTCGAGGGAGACTGAAATAACAGTCCCATCCTGGAACCAAGACCATGTCATCGCGGAGGTCTTTGCGCTGAATCTTGGTTTCTTGGAGAATTACAATATCCGTCTCCAGTATGTCAAACATGGACTTTGGACTAGATAAGCTCGGCTACTGAGAAATAGAAGGATATACACTTACCTCAAATGTGCGCGTTCCTCTCCATGGCTCATAGGAGAACGGGTTTCTTTTGTTATATTAGTGTTGAACCGGTTCAACTAGCAGGTTTCTTTCATACCGTATACCATTGACTAAAAGGTTATGCACCGTTGGTATATATTCACTACTCGGAGCTCCCGATGATTCAGATAGGACTTACCATTCCACGTGGTGATGCGAACTCCCATGTTGGGCGCGCTAGTGTATCAGGGGACAACGCGGCATTTCTTGCGATGCAAATGATCAAGACAGGTCGAGATACAATAGAAAAGATCGAGTCAGCCAAGGATTAGAACCACCCTTACTTATTCAATATAGTTAACTGGTTGCGGGACCTGCATCCCGACGTTCATACATATTCAAAACAATCACGTGACTCCAGTGGCCTTGTGTATGCCTGATATATAAGGCTTCATGACATCAGGTTACATAATCCGGGAGATCACGGGGATACGCTAAAGACGGCTTCAGACCTCATCGCACCACTTTTGACCTTCACCACTAAGAGACCTCCTTAGCATCACCCACCATGTTCCCTCAACGCAATATCGGTCGCCTTTCCCAGCGTGCTTCGCAGAAGATGCGTTCCGCTCCGGTCCGCTCCACCATCCAGCGCCGTTTCAACAGCGCCGAGGCGAAGCCTTCTTGGATCGTCGACAACGAATTCAACCGCGAGAGAGCTGCCGTCAAGCACCATGCTGCCTCTACCAGCAGTATGTACCCCACAACTAACTCAATTGATTGTGCAGCATGGTCATTGGCCGTAGACAATATCCATTACTGACCCGATTATTCCACAGGCCTCTGGCTCAAGCTGTCTGTCTTGTACGTTTCAATCCACTCCTTGGTTTGACATTCTCACCTAAAACTTAATTAATTCATAGTGCCGTTATTCCCTGCCTGATTGGTGGTGGTCTCAACGCCTACAACCTCTGGAATGAGCACTGGGAGCACTGGTCGCACATGCCCCCGCTCGAGGAGCGCACCGAGTACCCTTACCAGAACATCCGCACGAAGAACTTCCCTTGGGGAGACGGTGATAAGGTATGTGAATCTAATTATGCTATGTGCTGAAGACTCGAGCTAATCTATGTCCGGAATAGACCATCTTGTGAGTTCCGACTTTCCACCCCACCACATACTATACATTGTTCTGCGGAACAGCAGCTTCTGCAATCTTACATCTGATGATCTGCTTTTTCAACCGGATCGCATGACATTCCACATCACCCCCGGAAACCCCAGGACTAACTCATCTACAGCTGGAACTCCGATGTGAACTACCACAACAAGGACAAGGCCGCCTAAATTAGGCCGCTCGCAATCTTTCCATATACTCGAGACTCCCCTTCGAATCCGCCAGGAAATCATTGAGTGTGTGTCAGGGTTGGCTCTTCCATGTACATATACCACACTGTCGTTCCCATGTGGAAACACAGTCAAATGCTTGGGGAGCTCAAAGTCCAGTTGACAGAGTGAGGCGAAGCTTACTATGTACTAGTCAACATTCATTCTTGCTGCTATTTCTTTTGTCTCTTTTTGGATCATATATCTATTTGTCTCAAAGCCTATGCTTCCAAGTT